AATTTGGATGGAAAGAAAATGAATTCCAAGGAATTGAATTGCCTAGAAATTATTTTACTGAAAATTGTTAATTGATAGTGTTTGATTGGTATAATTTTCTAGGTAAAAAATGTTGAAGTAAAAATGTCTTTTGGTATTCGTTTGACTTTATTTTTCATGAAAATTGTCAATTTAAGAATTATCAACTTCTACCATTGTTCCTAATATTTGTTTCCATTGCTACACACAAAAAAATAAATAAATAAATAAATAAATAAATAAATAAATAATCCAAAAATCATCTATACGTTGGTGTTCGTTTGGCTTTATTTTACATGAAAATTGTCAATTTAAAGACTATCCTCTTTTACAATTGTTCATAGAATTTGTTCACATTGCCAACCATTAAAAAAGAAAAAAGAAAAAAAGATGGAATTCCAAAAAACCACCTACCCCATGAAAAAATAAAAGATGGAGTTTCATGCTTTACCGGCTTGTACCTAGAAAATTATGGAAAATCAATTCCCGGAAAATTTTGTTAATCAAACCGGCCAAAAATGGAAGTTGGAATTCGAATTACAAACTCCATGGAAAATATAGTGTGATCAAACAGGGCCTAACAGATCTATACCTCATGAGTGGGCCAATTTTGCTTAAATTGCTGCATGAGAAATTGACAATTTAGCTGGACTTTCTCCACGTCCATGCCCGCTGTTATCGCTTTGCTCGTGAGAATGGGTGGCTCTGCACGACTGAGACGAGCCAGGGTTCAATCCATCTGTAGAGGTGAATTCGACCGGCTCTTAGAAATACAAAATTTACCCTGTTCGGATGAACTACTAGATACACGAAACTAAATTTTGGCTTGAGTGGATAAAAATTATGATCTAGCAACTGAATAGAACTCTCCATTACTTCTACAGAACAAATCGTTCACAGTGACGAGAAATATGGATCACAAACTTACAAAATATTTATTAAAATTTAAAAGAAAGTGGGGACAACTAGAATATCAAAACATTATATGAAACAATACACTAAAAGATTCGGCGGACCCCTATTTCCGCTTCAAAGGACACTTGCATGGGTTAGAATATAACGTCGATTGCTGGAAGAGAACCCCCAACCACTTTCGAACTTTCAACGCTTCTTCACCATCAAAAACACCTAGTAACTTGAAGCTTTCGTTAAAGGACAAGTAAACACGAGCCAGTTACTGTCGATTGCTCTATAAGAAATAATCAGGAGTTCTTCGAGTTACATCAGGTTCCCCTCTCCTTGGAGCTGGCTCAAACTGCAACAGTCAAATCACAAGCCACCCAGATAATTAACCCACATTGCACCAAAAATACAGAGAAAAGATCGCACTCAATAACTGATATTTCATTGTGTTGCAGGTTCTCGAGTATAATTAAATGTCAAAATAGGATAGCCACACACGTATGAAAGGAGGGAGAGAAGGGAACCTGGATAAATGTATGCTCTCTATTATCATCAACTTCCAAAATGGATGCCATATTCCCACAACGATAACAATAATTTGGAGCACTGAAAATTGTGACAACCTTTTGCTCCTGAGATGGAAGTCAAATTTGAACATGACAATCCTCTTCAACTAATAGTGTAATTGATAAACAAGTTAAATATTACTACAAGTAAACATTTACATGGGCCCAGTTGTATCCCTCCATAACCAACTGATGAGCTCTAGCAATTAGATTTAAGTTGTTGGTATGATTGAATTGCTCTGATATGTCCTGTAATAGGTAGACAGACCGTGGAACTGATTAGATTAAAGAAGAAATGAACAAAAACCTCCAATAAATACATGAAGGTACCTGGCCAAACGTGTATCCCGCACCACGGGGGGAGATACCCCAACCGCATCGATCGTCAGGGTCAGACCATAAAAGATCACACATGGGACCTTCATGTGGAACTTCTTGAACACGGTCAAAGTTTCTTATATTATCAAGGGTTTCGATAGAGGGGGACAACCCACCATGAAGACAAAATATTTCTGATTCAACCTATTGATCAGGACACTGCATCAGAATCAACTTGCGAGCAAAATAAACTTACAATAAAATCAAATTGAATTATTCAATTTTATTCCTTCAACTTAAAACAGAAAGCATATTTCTCCATTCTTGTGTTACAATTATCATCATCTGACATTGAAATTAACTCGAGTTTTTATTAAAGGCTAAATAAATTGCAGCTTTTGTCCGCAATCGATGCCCTCTTATGCACTTCTACTACCAACCTCTATTACTTTGATATTCTTACCCTCCACGTTTCACAAATTAGCAGCCTCCGTCCCTATTGACGGTTCCATCCAAAATGACCGTTGAGTATAGAAAGACAAACATACCCTGAACTTTTAAAAAAAAAAAGGAGGAGAAAAAGAACTGTCTTCTCTGGCAATGATTTCCATCCCCAGCAGCACCCTGCTGCCAACCCTACCCCAAGCACCACCCACCACCACAATTGATGTCTCAAAGATATTTAGAAAAAGTAATGGATATTTAAACAGAGCTCAATCTTTGAATAAATTCCCCATAAAAAACGAATAAGTTTCAGCTCAAGAAGAGAATTCTGACACTATCAAACAAGAAAATGAAATGGAATTGAAAGGAAAGTAAGAATGCTAACTATTAATTCGTGAACTTCTGAAAATTTTAAGAAAAAGAAGCAGGGCGATTTTGGCATGGCAAAGAAAACAAAAATGAAATGAATATGAAAAGCCGATACATTGACGAAAACAAAATGAAACAAATGGCATTAATGGTTGATTAGGTGCCCGGCAATTGGTTCAGTGTTCAACGGATATCTATATTTATAAAATTTGTGGTGGGAGGAGCTGATATATATATTTTAATTCTTCCATCAATTAATTAGTAACACCCTAACCACAACCATGTTGTAATCGATAAATGGTTGTTCTGATGCCCAGGAGATCGGTTCATTCTTCGCTGCAAATGGATAGAGTTCAATGAGCTTCAGAGTGAGTATTGTTGTTTGGAAGCTTTCTCCCGACGAAATAGCAGATGATTTAAAATGAAGGAAGAGNTAACAGATTTAAGCAAGCTTGAGTTCAGATTGTTTATTTATGAGATGACAAATACTACTTCTAATGCAGTTTGCACAAGTAACATGTGTTAAAAATACAGAATCATACTGTAAATAGTTTGATTGCATAATTAGCGTACAGTATTTACTATGTAAATCTATAAATACGTCTCTCTTCGTAATTCCAAGACAAAACAGTTATACATTTTATTATTCTAAACATTGATCATTTACAACCTAATAACAATTCATTGTTTGCATGATGATCAAAAAATGAGGCTGGCATTATGATCTGGTTGCACACGATGTTGACCAGTTTGGAAAAAAAAACCCTTAATAAAAATAATAACACAGTAAAAAATTAAGATGCAATATTATTTTTTACTGGCAGGTTATGGGAATAGCATTCTGAAAAATTCCTCAGCAACTGGTAACTATTTGCTAATTCTTAAATCCTGGAGAGAAACAAGAACTGGATATTTGGCTAAGCTTAAATTATTTTTGAAATAAACGACTTCAATAGTTGATTAAAGTAGAAAATTGTTGCGCTTCAAGAGCGCGTGGCTTCACCATTCAAGATTCACCAATGTGCAGCACCACATCCAAATGTCCATATGTTCACCCCATCTCAAGTTGACCTAGAACTACTGCACCTATCATTCTGGGCAGCGTCTTAAGTGCCCTTATCGAAATATAGGAAAGGAAGGGTTAATTCAAACTAAGGATATTACAGAAGTGGCAAGCTCCCCTCTGAATTTGGACCTCAAAGGCGTTGACAGCCCTTAAGAAGAAACATCTCGTGGCAGCAACCATTATATTCACCGCCAAATTAACCAGCATAAGAAACATTTGGCAGCGGCAATCATTACATTCACTGCCATTTTAAACTAACACTCTGTGCAAAGTCAAGTTGCCAACCAATCAGAAACCTTGACAAGAACCTCGAGTAGATCTAACACGTTTCCCATTTCAACCATTAAAAACTATAAGTTCACCTATGTCTGCACACATCTTAACGGGGCATCAACTCACGATTGAAGTGACGCAATTTCAATCCCAAACTTTCCTACAAATACCCCCAAATACTTATTAAAACATATAACTTTGTGCTGTTTTACAACGTCAATACATATCTTGACTCACTACCGACTTTAGGCAAACCTTCATCTCTTGCGGTCGAGTAGAGATTTAATTCATTTTGTATGGGACACACCGAAAATTAAAAAAATAAAATAAAATAAAATAATGATATCGACAGAAGTTATTTATCCCATTCCTCAACTACATTTCCCTAGAATATCTATTTCTTTATCTACAACTCCTTAAACACCATCCCCGCCACCACCAATCACTACTGAAATCACCAAACGCATTAATTTTCCATAACAGAAAAATGTGACAGTTTACTCACCGGGCATGTCGATTTCAGGCACAATTCGAACCCCGTATTCCATCCCAAACTCCACCAACAGCTTCACATCCTCCACCGTGTACTTCATATCTTCACTGTACGCTCCTTTTCCAGCCAGCTCCGGCTCCGACGGAAGCACCAGTGGAAATGATTGCGAATCCGTAATATGCCAATGGAATACATTCAATTTATTCATACTCATTGCCTTTATCAGCCTCAACAAATCCTCCACTGGGTAATAATTTCTCGATGTGTCGAGCACAATCCCGCGGTGCTTGAAAAGTGGTACGTCGGAAATGTACAACCCGGAAGCGACAATTGAGGGTTTTGAATACACTAATTGAGAAAAAGTTTCCAGTCCGCGCATTGCACCCCATACAGTATGGGCGGAGAGTGTGGCATTTGTGGACCCGGAGGAGGGAATTGTGAGGTTATAGGACTCGTCAACGCCATGAGTTAACGGCGAGGTGAGGTCAGTGATGGTTATGATCAACAATTGTAGCGGCGATTCTGACGTCAAGTGGAGTGGGGGTTCAATCAGGGGCTGGTGGTTCTCCTTCAAGACTTGACGGAGATAACGGTTAACGGCGGCAGTTAGGTAACGGTTGTCAGGGTTTGAGATTGCGAAGTTGGGGGAGAGTAGGATTGCTTGTGGGCTGGTCCAGTGAAAGGTCGTGGGCTTCGGCCATACGTTGACAGGGTATTCGACGGCTGAGATTTCAGGGATGGAGGAACATAATATGAAGATAGATATTAGGGACAAAGAGAGAGAAAATGCGAATTTAGTGTAACACATTTCGGCTTTTTTCTTGGGTTTTGCTTCTTGGAAAATTATTCTTCTAACTACAAAAGCAAGTCTATTTATATATTTATTTTGCTCCAATCCCTCTGATTCTTATGGTCCAAAGACCTAAGTTTCTTTTTTTTTTTT